AAAAAAAAAAAAGAAGTTATGCTGGCACACAACTTGCATTGTCTTTTCCGGCCTTTTTTTGAACTATGATTCCATACCCCTGGTGTTCTCCATCATGTTCATCATTAGAGGCAGAGTTTTTCTTGGAGAGGCAGAGTGAAGAAGTCTGGAGATCCCGCTGTCACAGTTTAGCTTTTGCATCTTAACTGATCTTTGGAGCACAAGCGAACAAAATGGATTGATTCTATTATGTCCTGGCAACCTTGAGTACCTTGAGCGGTCTTCTGTCTGAGTGGTGATCAGTGCCTAGCTGGGTGAAACTGTGTACAGCTGGTGTTTGCCACAAGAGCAAATTGTTTGGGTTTTGAGACCACCTTTTTTCCTTGACTGCTATCAAGGTGGTAATCAGTCCATAAATGTGCTCAGCTCCTGCATTTGCTGTTTTTGCTGTTGTCAGGACAAGCCTGAAGGCATTCAGAGCGATCTTTCCCTCAAGGTACCTTGAGGTGAGATGCTTCTCTGCTACTCAGTTGTTTTTTTTTCTTGACCAGAATGACTGGTGATCTAACTAAGCAGCTGAGGTGTCAGTATGCAAATGGGTGGGTAATAGCTCTAAAGTAAGCTTTAAACTTTTTATTGCTTGATTGGAGGGGTGGGGGGGTGGTATTTGATTGGGGGCTGGAGTGTTGGCCAAGCCCCCAGATAAAAACCATGAAATTCTTAGCTCGGGGATCCAGAGTGCAACATGGGTCAGTTGAAAGCCAGCGATACTGAAGCTGTTGAAAAGGATCGTCTTTGGGAAGAATTGGAAGGTCAGTTGGTCACTTTTAAGGGTGAAAGGCATGGTTGTACTCAACCGAGTCTTTCTAGGGACTTGGCGTTGGTTCTTCAAAATGACTGTCAACTTCAGCTAGAGCACACAGGTTATTTTTAAATTATGCCTTACTTTTTTTCTGTATGTGGTAGACTATACGTAGCTTTTGAACTGTTTAGAAATCTGAGGTTAGTGCATTTGCTCAACCTTAGTTTTACTAGAAAATGTGAAAAGGGTATTATTGTTTGGGGTTTTTAGTATGATTTTCATAGTTTTGTTTAAAAGGCAATTTGGATAAATGACTGTGAAGCTGCTAAGAAAGAAAGTACTAGGGATTTCTTTCTTGCTTGGAACTAAATAGTTGGGTTTAGTTACGTATTAATACTTTATATGACCATAATGCAGCTGAATGTGTGGATCTTGATACCTAGTAGCAACAAATGCAGATGTACATATAGACCGCTGTGACAAGATTAGTTGCTTCTGTAATTATAAAAGATCTTACTACCCTGCCTGTTTTCCATTTACTGTGTCACGTGCTTTACATTATTTTGAAGGATGCATAGACATGTAATTACAGGTTCCCCCTTCCTGATATTAATTAACGCGTAAGAGTTGTTCACTAGAAGAACAATTGAGTACTGTGTACATGTGTTTCTGAATACAAGGTGTTTTAGGACAGAGGATCCCAAAGCTGATCTTAATCTGTTCTGGACTACTGATCAGGAACACTTGTAATAATATTCTCAACTGCAGTTGTTGAAAGGTGCTGTTTCTTGCAGCACTGTGAAAGTATTGTAGATGTTTTTAATGTGTTAAACTTGCTGTTAGTGAAGCAATGGCTGCTTTGGCATCTCTCCAAAGTTTGGCATGCATGCTAGAGGTTTCATCTAGCACCAACAACAATTACTGGCTTTTTTTTAAGAAGAAATTGGGCATCATACCCCAAAATTGTTTTTTCGTCAGCGGCCTAGTTGCTTTAGGTGTTGCTCTTTCAGTCTTCTAGCCCTTACTTATACCTCTGTAAGATCAAGATCAAGACATGGACAGAATGTGGCTTGGCGATGCCTCTTTTTCACTGCAACGTTGATGCATTTATTGTCCTAAAACTTACCCGTCCTCCCTGCTTCTGTCCTCACACCGACGTCAGGCCCTGCCAAACCCTTTCCCCTCACTGTTTGAGGAGAGCCATTGCAACACACTTTCCCTGCGTTTAGGACGCACACATTTTTCCCTTGGCTCAGGCTTCCCTGAGGCCTGAGTTGCTCTTATCTCCCTGAGACTCCAAACTGATAAGCCAATCTAATTGGAGTGGGGTGTGGTGGTTGTTTGTCCTTCATCACATTGCAATCTGGTGACATAGAATAGAAAATGAAGTGAGAATGAATTAGAATAGACAACAAGTACATCTGTCATTGATCAGATGCCCAGCACGAGCACCATTAAACGACTTGTCTTGCTCTATGTGAAAACATCTTCTGCAGTGCAAGCTGATCTTAGTTACCTGTTGTGATTCTGGCTTTTGACCTAAAAGCCAGCAAGGCTTTTGTACGCTTCAGCTCAAAATGACTTTATAAGACACACATTTATCTTCATGTCTTCAATAAGCTTGTTCTCAACAAATATGGGAGAAGCTGACAGCCCTCCTGCTTCGCGTGGTCGCTGGACAGTTGTCAGTTCCCAAATCTGATTCCTCTGATAGGAGTTTCTCAAAGGATATTTACTTGTAGCATTCTGTGTTACACTTTTTCCCCTTCTAAGGGTGTTGTTGAAACATGCAGCTTGTTTGTCATGATTGTTCCCTAAAACAGTCAGTAAATTATTTATATAGTTAATTTTTCATCTAAGGCTGCAGACCATCTGTTGATTTGCATAAAATAGCAGCATAGTCACCACATACCTATTTCAGTACCTTTGGAGGGAATGATACGGATAGAAAACATGTTCAACAGTACACTTTGGACAAGGAAATGACCACTGAATTTTCTCTATAAACAATCCGACTTGTTCTGCAGAAGAATAGCCTCACATTTGAAGCCTTTGAATGGAATTCTCTGCTGGTGCCCATCAGTTTGGTTAGGTCCTGTGCAAAGCCAGCTAGACTGGCTTGTACCAAATGGTACACAATCAGGTTCATTATTTACAGGCTTACTGTGCAGTGTTTGTAAGATGGTTGTGTTTTTGCCTTGTTCACATAGGTGCCACTGAACTGCTGCTTTTAGCCCGCCGAACAGATTTGAGGCGAATTTCCTTAGACACCCCAGATTTTACAGACATTGTTTTGCCACTGGAGGACATCCGTCATGCTATCGCCATTGACTTTGATCCTCTGGAAGGATACATCTATTGGACCGATGATGAAGTTCGGGCCATCCGCCGCTCGTTCATCGACGGGTCAGGTAGTCAGTTTGTCGTCACAGCACAGATCGCCCATCCCGACGGCATTGCTGTGGACTGGGTTGCCCGAAATCTGTATTGGACCGACACTGGCACAGACCGTATTGAAGTTACAAGGCTTAATGGGACCATGAGAAAAATCTTGATATCAGAAGACCTGGAAGAGCCCAGAGCTATTGTGCTGGATCCCATGGTTGGGTGAGGAGCTGTTCGTGAGCGTTTTTTTAAATTAGTCGTGTAAAGAAGATACCTCTGTCTACCTGTGTGCAGATAATGGGATGCAGTGATAAACTGCTGAGCCTTCAAAATGAAAATACTGGGATTCTTTGAAAGTTAAGGCTCTGAGGCAGAGGGACTACTGCTCTAGTTTGACCACTTGGGTAGTCATCTTGTAATGTGTCTTTATGTTTTATTCTCCTGTTTAAAAATATTTTGGGGGACTGTGTGGATCTGTTTGTTTATTCCAGCTAATAGCACTGGTTATGTTGTCTTGCTGAGCAGGCTGATACAGGAGTTTTATGTAAAGGGACAATGTGTTTACAGGTCAATGCTTTCTGAATGGTTTGGGCATCCTTATTTAGGTAAGGAAATATATTTGCTTAGAAATGTACTTTTCTGTGTGCAGTGTGGTTTCAGGGACCAGTAGGCCCGAAGAAGTTATGTGAATATTGAAAATCTGGATTACTAAGAGTTCTTAAGATTTTGTTTCCTTTGCAGGTACATGTACTGGACTGACTGGGGAGAAATCCCAAAGATTGAGAGGGCAGCATTAGATGGCTCCGACAGAATTGTGCTGGTGAATACTTCGCTTGGCTGGCCAAATGGACTGGCATTGGATTATGCAGAAAGCAAAATATACTGGGGAGATGCCAAAACGGACAAAATAGAGGTTTGTAATTGCACCTGCATTTTTAATTCCACGAAGTTACAGAATGTAGTTATTCTGCTTTCCTAGGTGTTCAAATTCTGATATAGCCCAAAAGGGCAATGGGATAATGGTTGATTGTGCTTTAAGAAATAATTCAGTTTCTTCTCTGTCTTTGAGCAAGTTATTCGCTGTTCTTTGCTCACTTTTCTGTGTGTAAAATAGAAAGTATATCCATGTAGTAGATCCCTCTTTTTAAGAATGTATGATAAGGATTTGTTAAGTCAATTCTCAGATCATCAAGGAAAAAAGCTTTTTACTGGGAGTAATGTTTGTAGGTTGAAAAAAACATCTTTCATTCTTTGCGCTGCTCAGCTTAGATGCTAGTAGAACATCTTTAAAATAAATAAATCTCATTTCACATATAATTATTTGTACTCCCACAAATCCTCTATACTTTGCGTCTCCCTTGTTTTATTAGGGTTCCAGCGAGGGGATAGGTTTTCCTTTCTTTCTGGTGTGTTCTGCTGAAACTTTTAATTGGGGGGGGGGGGGGGGGAAAAAAAAACATTTTTTTTTTGGGTGTCGGTAATAAAAAAGCCATTTTTCTTCTCTCCCGCATTGAAAATCATGTGTTTATTTTGTTACATAAATTTATTGAACAAAATTAACATTTATTATCTCTTTCTCAGTCTTTGTGAAAACAGTATTGTTTAGCATTTTTTCAGTTTACTGTCAAAAGGCAGAAGTTTGTCTGGAAGCAGGAGAGTTGGCTACTACCTGGTGCATAGTAGCACTACCTACCTTTGCCATATCCTGGTAGATTTACCTTTCTTTTGATGAATTACAGCTTTCCTTAGTGATTCCTTACCATTGCAAATAATTTTCAGTACTTATCATATTAGGCACAATATTTTCTCTAGCCTTATGAAATGGTTTTGGTTATTTGTAACTTCAAATAAGTCAATGTGAAGTCATAGTCTTGCGCTGGAAGGTCACATAACTGATGGTTCTCCTTTGGAGTCAAAGTAACTCCAGCCCTGCCAGGTGAGTTGCTTTGAAGCACTCCTTGGGAGAGCCTCAGGGAGCACTGTTTTCTTTGTCCTGAAAACAAGATTTATAGTCTATAATTCACCTAACATTATACCAACTCTGAGAAAAGAGGAGAAAAGAGTATTATCTATGCTTAGAGTTGTATTTATAACAGATCAAGCAGTTCAGCCCTGATACCGCCTTGGACTTGAATGTCTTTTGCAAAAGGAAAGTTAGATATTCTCCACTCTCATGCTTGCCAAAACATTTTGGATTTTTTCATGCGGTTCAGTCTTGCTCAGACCACGATTCCATATTCATTAATAATGATTCTGTTCAGCACTGAATCTGTTTGTGGTAGAAATTTTCATCTAGATCAGGCATGAGCTCACTGCTGCAGTTGTGTCAAACTGGCGAGAACACATGATGGAATGTTTATGCCAACATTGCCATGTCTGTGGCAGGACAGAAGATATCTGATCTGGCACAAAGGCTGCTAGGACAATTTCCATTTCTTTGTTTTTAAACCAATGTGAGCCAGCAGAATGAGTTTGTTCCAGGTTGTCATGTAACATCTATGCAGGGCATCGGAGAAAATTTATCATCTTAAGATTTCAGAATTACTAGATTTTTTTTTTTTTCCTATGAGGCTCCAAGTGTTAGAGTTGTGATTTTACTGCTGCTGCGGTTTATAAAAAGTTAACATTTGTTAACTCTTGTCAATGTGCAGAAAATCCTGAAAAAGCCTGGCTAAAACCTTTAAAGCAATCTAAAACCTTTGGCTTTTAGTTTTATTTGAGGATTCGTTTGCGTTTTTTTTTTCTTACTGCAGAAGGTGTTAATTGAGGGGTATGTGACAGAGATCTATAACATTAAGACAATTATGTATAAGGTGACCAGGGCTTCCCCACACATGCCATTTTTGATAGAAGAAATTGGCATTTGTAAATAACACTGGCAGGTGACGGGTGCAGAGCAACCAAAAGCAGATGGTTCTTCAAACGGTGTGTGATAAGTTGTGGAAATGGTTGTGGAAGTTAAAAGCTTACATGTGTTACTGGGAAGACTGGGTAAGTCTGTGGAAGGGAATTCCACTGAAGTTTACTAGAAAATAGAATTGCCTTCTGAACCACAAAAACTGATCTGTAAATTGCCTTAGAATGAAAGAGTCTTCTTGAAAAGTTTCAGTATGTATTTGCTTTATTACGCTGTTCTGTAAGTGTAAGTTTTGATCATTCTCTGAGACAGGATGCCGGGATGGGTGAACCCCTGGAGTGAAGTCGCACAGCCTCTCTATTTTCCTGTGTTGAGGCCATTCTATTCCTTCAAGGTTTGGGGAGTCTTTATTCTGTTAGCTTGTTGCCTTGGCTTTAGGAAAAACTTCATGTTCTTCCTTAGATGCAATATCGCTGCTTGCTAACTGCACTTCAGAGAGGCAGAAATGGGTTGAAAATCAATGACCTCTGGTAGTGCTGGATCAGGGTGGGAGTTCAGTACAGCTTCTGTAATTAAGAAAGTATGGAAAGACTCTACAGGATGAAGAGGAGGGTGTTCATCCAGCAGAATGGTTCAGTCTAAAGCAGATTCTTCTCCCTAACGTGCTAAGTAATGCGAATGTAGTGGTGAGTTTCTTTACTGGTGAATCTTAGTGAATTTTCCCCAGGACCTGGTATGGCTTCTGTAATCTTTTATGAGAGACTGACTTTGTTACCGTAGGCTACAGGAATCTCAGGCTGCAGTGACACTGTCTAAATCTGATAGCTAAAATATTACTAACATTTCAAGTCTTCCCTTTTCCTCCCACTGCCTTTCTCTCCTATGGCAACCGTGAATCCTGAGGAGATTTGTAACACTTTCCCTGCCCTTCCCATCCATTTTTTATATCAGTTTAGTAGAAGATGCGTTGACCTTCAGTAAATGTTTTAAACTTACGTTTGGAGAAAGGACGCTGGAGGAGGTGCGACAAAGAGGGAATTTGTGACAGGATCAAAAGATGAAACTTGGAATTGGACATGAAGACATCAGAATATATGCCTGGTCCCTGCTTTGCTTGTATGTGTATATTTGGGAGAGAGGGTAAAAGCAACAGAAACACATTCGTGTACTTGCACTCTATCTTTAAGTAGTTTTTCATACATGATTTTACATGTGTTGTGGTTTCTGCCTTTTTTTTTTCCTAGTATGTGGAATTCCTCAGAACCATTATTTAATTGCAACGCTACCGAAATGAATGTTTCTTGCAAGCTATGTTTCTGGTTGGTTTGTGCTACATAAGAGCTTTTATTATTTATTTTTTTACACACCGATTCGTGCTATGCTGTTCTGGAGCCCCCAGATGATAATAAAGCATCAGCAGGGGTTAATGGAGACTGGTGGGGGGTACAGCAGGGAGCTTTTGTTCCCATTTTATCTGGCAGCCTGCAGCAGGCAGAAGCAGGCTGTGGCTCAACAGCTTCGTCATTTATCTCGGTCAGGTTTCACTGCTGATAAACTTCTATTGAAATGGATGGCTGCTATTGTGCTTACCAGTAGGGAAGATTTCTCATTGACTTGCTACAGGTTTAAAGCATTTTCCTGCCGTGCTATAAGGTTAAAAATGTATGATCTGCTCTGTTGAATTGGTCTTATGTTTTCCTGCTCCAGTGAATATTTGTCTTCTGAGCACGTACGCTACCTGTTTTAAGGCATAGGTTGGATTTAAAATGGTCAGCAAAGCTCGTATCGATAAAGCAATTATAAATGGCTGCGTGCATGTGTGGCTGTGTGCGTTAAGAGGAAATAATGATGATATGGCTGATTTCTCCCAATTTTTCAGTCTTTGCTTCATTTTTCTTTATTCATCTTCATTCCTGTTCTCCATTCTCAGAGCCAGAGATGACACCCACTTACACCTACTAGTGGCGAGTTTAAAGCAAGGACTCGCTGCCTCCTGTACAGATCCAACCATTATCTAGTGATTTATTTTTTTTTTGAGTGCAGCTCTAACTTGAAGGCTTTCTGCATTCCCAAATCTATTAGCTGTGCCTGGCATTACTGTCTCTAATCCTCATGATTAATACGGAAAGTCTTACATCCTGCTGTTTTTCAGCATATGTATACGCAAGTCTTCAGAACCCAGCCTTGTCGGACAACAGAAAGCGGTTGCTGCTAAGACTTTTTTGAGCACAAAAATCTTGAACAGAGAGGACCTTTTTGTCTTTGACCTAGGAGCTAATAGCTTGGCATCTAGAGAATGCTCTAATTCATTATTCTAATCCTGAAATTGCAGGGCTACATTTTCCTCCAGTGACAACAGGAAATTTTGTTTTCTAAGCATTCACCATTTTTTTTCTGACCGAGAAATTTTGTCTCATAGCATTAGTCTTTGTATTGTGAAATGCTGATGACTTGTAAGCCTGATTACTGATCCTACCCCATCCACCTTGCTTTGAAGCAGAGGTTTGAAAGCTGAGAAGCAGAAACCATTGAATTCATAGCTGTTGAACACAGCTGCTTTTGTCTACTTGCATTAAGCTTCTGCAGGTATGAGAAATAAGATAATTGAAACAAATACTTGAAGTTGCTTTGCTGTTTAATTTTGGCTACCTGTCTTGGTCCACCTGGTTCGGATAGTTGTGGCAGTTGGGAACCTCATTCAGCAAAGGACAGCAAATATGTGCTGCAGAGGATAGGGGCAGATCCCTCTACTCTGTCCCAGTTTCAGAAATTTAAAATTTACTTCGTCAGGGAATTTCCAGCTGTTTCTTAATGCCTGCTAGGCCTGCATTAAGAAAAATTACGGATTTTTGAAATTAGTAGTAGAGTAAGGGCTTATTTAAAAGAACCAACCAAACAGAAACAATTAGTTTATACTTTGTACAATTTCTATTTGGGAGGTTTCTTTTGAACTTCTGAATGAGCTTGGGGAAGAATTAAATTTCATGATGCAGACTGAGATAGGAAAACTTTATTACAAAGCAAACAAATGACAGCCACAGACCATGTATTAGTAA